TAGCTTGAGGGGAGGGATAGCTCAGTGGTTTGAGCATTGGCTTGCTAAACCCAGGGTTGTGAGTTCAATCCTTGTGGAGGCCCTTTGGGGCAAAAATTCATCATGGGTGGTACTTGGTCCTGCTGTGAAGGCAGGGGACTGGACTCAATGACCTTTCAAGGTCCCTTCCAGTTCTAGGAGATAGGCAATCTCCATTATATTCTTTTGGCCCAATCCTCTAATCTGTCCAGCTCACTCTAGACCCTATCCCTGCCCTCCAACATATCTACCGCTCCCTCTAGCTTAGTGTCATCTTGAAAACTTGCAATCTATCCCCTCTATTAAAGGTAATTAATAAAGATGTTGAACAAAACCAGTCCTAGAACCGAACCTTGGGGCACTCCGCTAGAAACCAACAGCCAATCTGACATCGAGCCATTGATCACTACCCATTGGGCCTGACAGTCTAGCCAGCTTTCTGTCCATCTTACAGTCCATTTATCCAAACCACATTCCCTTAACTTGCTGGCAGGAATATTATGGGAGACCGTATCAAAAGCCTTGCTAAAGTCAAAGTATATCACATCCACTGACTTTCCCATGTCTACAGAGCCAGTTACCTCATCATAGAAGCTAATAAGATTGGTCAGGCATGACTTGCCCTTCATGAATCCATGTTGACTATTCCTGACCACTTTCCCTTCTTCCAAGTATTTCAGAATGGATTCTTTGAGGATCCCCTCCATGATTTTTCTAGGGACTGAGGTAAGGCTGTCTGGTCTATAGTTCCCTGGATTGTCCTTCTTCCCTTTTTTAAAGATGGGCACTACATTTGCCTTTTTCCAGTCATCCGTGATTTCTCTCGATTTCCACGAGGTTTCAAAGATAATGGCCAAAGGCTCCACAATGACATTTGCCAACTCCCTCAGTACCCTTGGATGCATTAAATCCAGGCCCATGGATTTGTGTATATTTAGCCTTTCTGTGAATTTATCTAGCTCTTTTTTGAGCCCTGTTAAAGTTTTGGGCTTCACAACATCCTCTGGCGGGGAGTTCCACAGGTTGATTGTGCATTGTGTGAAGAAATATTGCCTTTGGTTTGTCTTCAAGCTGCTACCTATTAATTTCATTTGATGACCCTTAGTTCTTGTGCTAGGGGAGCAATAAATAACATTTCCTTATTTAAGCATCAGAGGGGTAGCCATGTTAGTCTGGATCTGCAAATGTGAGAAGGACTCCTGTAGCACCTTATAGACTAACAGTTGTATTGGAGCATATGCTTTCATGGGCAAAGACTCACTTTGTCAGATGCATGTAGTGGAAATTTCCAGAGGCAGGTATAAATATGCAGGCAAGAATCAGGCTAGAGATAACAAGGTAACCTCTTATCCCATGACAACTTACTGTGCTTCAGAGCTTTTGGTGAGGGACCTTGGCAAAGGCTTTCTGGAAAGCTAAGTACATTATAGCCAGGGGTGGCCCCAGGCAGGCCGCCGGCAGCTGGCACCCCAGGTGGAATGCGTGATTGGCGCCCCTGCCTCCACAGCCCTCAATGGTGTGACGTCTTCATTGGGCACCCCATTTAACGTGGCACCCTAGGCGACGGCAGAGTCGGCCTATACGCATGCGCCGCCCTGATTACCGTCACTGGATCCCCCTTGTCCACATGCTTGTTGACCCCCTCAAAGTACTCTAGTAGACTGGAGAGGCCTGATTTCCCTTTACAGAATCCACATTGACGTTTTCCCAACTAACCGGGTCCCTCGCTGTGTCAGACAATTCTGTTCTTTGCTGGTGTTTCGGCCAGTTTGCCCGGTACTGAAGCCAGACATACTGGCCTGGAGTTGCTGGGTTGCTTCTTCAGACAATTGTCGTCCCGCGAGCTACTGTCCCATCATTTGGTGCAAATCCAGGGGAAAACCACCGTAGTTGGGGTGAATTTAGTCACTTGTTCTACAAACGCTTCCTGCACATGGGACAGGCCTCAACTCTCTCCTTGCCCCTCAGGAGCTTTCTTCACGTCCTTGCTGCTCTGCCTGCTTTTCACCCGCCTCTGGGCCAGCCGGGCCATCTCTGTGCTGTACTTTATATGGTGGGTGATCGACCGCGACACCCCAGAGAGAGGTGAGGCCTTGCCCCCCAGCCTGTTCCACCCCTTCCCCCAGCCAGCCAGTCCCTGTCCTGGGGCAGGTGTCAGACAGCACAGCTGAGAGGGGACAGGCCCCTGCCCCATTCCGCCCCCCTCTCCTCCCCAGCAAGCTAGTCCCTGCCCTTTGGCTGGATGGGAGCTCTTTGAGTGACTATTTCCCTATCAAGGTACATAACAGGGTGTGGGGGGAGGAAGGGGAAGGGAAGCAGAGGAGACCTGTCCAGCTTGGAGGTGGGGTGGGGAATGGGGCAGAGGCCTATTCCCTCTAGGGGGGCATTAGCTCCCATCTGGTCCCCAAAGGGAGGTGTCTGCCCAGCAAACTAGGTAGGAGATGACTGGGGTTTTGGGAGCAGAGGCTGGGCTGGGCTGGGGACAGTGGAGGAAGGACGGGGAACATGTCGGGAGGAGGGATGGGAGCAGAGATAGAGA